GCGGGGGGTGGCTCGTGCCCCAGCGCCGCTCTGTGCCGCGGTCGGAGGGTTTTGGGGTGCAGGATGGCTGCGGGCCCCGGCACGGCCGCGCCGGGACGTCCCCGGCTGGTGCTGGGCGCCTTGCTGAGGTTCCCTGGAAGGCGGCTCGGCGGGTTACCCCAGGGTGCGTGCTCCCAGTCTCCCCAGAACTGCTGCTCTGTACGTTTAAAGCACAGAAAAGATGTCTTTTTCAGCTTGAAAGTGTTCTGTGGGAAAAGGCTGTCAAATATTTGTTTTCAAATACCTGAATATTTATTCAGTATTAAGGTACCTCCTGAAACGCTCACCTCGATGTGGGTGTTATCAGCCAAAGGCAAATAATTACTTTGCATAGTGTATATATTTGACATCTCTAGAGTCTACTAATGTACTTTATCACCACTGTAGCTGAAAAACTAAGAGATCGTGAATTTATTTGGCTTTTTCTAAAAGTACTCCTCTGATTTGGAGGGTGGGGACAGACCGGAGCCCCAAAAGCGAGAATCTGGCCCTGGTTCTTCCTTCGGCAGTGACTGGAGGATTCCTGGATTACTTCATTCCATATTTATGCTCAGCTGTGTTATTTCAGGCACAGTAAAAAACTGAAGCAGTTTGAAGTATGTCTGCCAAGTGCCGCACACTTTAATTTGAAACTGCATGAATCTTACCCCACTGGCGTGTAGGCGTAGATCAGAAATGGGTCAGAATCTGGGCTATCTGGAACTGTATGAATACATACAGCTCTTACTCTGTGTCTTTCCCGGTTGCTGGTAGCCGTGTCTGTGTGTACATACACACGTTATACCCCTCCGTATCTTGTGTGCGGTACAGGCGTAATGCTCACCCCATCTAACGTGCATGTAAAGTTTGGGTTTTATCTCGATGCAGTATAGGTAGAAATATATATGCAGCTAATATTAAAACAGTGATATCTGAACAGCTCTGTTGCTTTTCAATATTTACCTGTATGTCCTAGACACACACACCCTGCTGGAAGTACAGGTTGAATGGCAGTAGTTTTAAACCTGACACTGAGTTTATCTTTGTTCTGTTTGGGTTACAGGGTTGGGACCAGGGAAGTACATAATAAATTGGAGAAGAACAGGTGCGTAGAAAGCCAGGGGTTTGGTCGTTTGTTTTTTTTTAAATTGTAATTTCCCCCCCCCCCCTTTTTTTTTTTGTTGTTTGGCCTATAGTCTGTCAATATTTGTTTGGCTTTGGCGGTTTTTTGTTTGATTGTTTTGTTTTTTAACAAATAACCTGAACACAATTCTTAGTGACGCTTAATGAATCCTGCAGTATTGCTTTGCTTTCTTACAGCTCAATTCTGCATCTCTTGCTTCCCAGTATGTTTTACTTAACTGCATAACTGCATTACAGTAACCCTGCAAAGCCCTGATCCCGCAAAGTAAATCCCCACGTGCATAACGGTGTGACTTCTCTTTTGGTGCAAAGTAATAAAATAGCCAAGATCAGGGGTCGGTGTACAGCGTGAATACAGAATAAAGACCAGTTCCTGATCCAAAACTTACGGGTCTAACTAGCTGAATTGGAAATACGGTGAAAGTGGAAGCAACAGCACAGGGAGATGAAATATTTTGCTTAAGATTGTGCAATGGTTTCCTAACAAAGCCAGGACTAGACTCCGGGCATGCAACCCCTTGTCTCTCTGCTGGGTGAGCGGTTGGGTCGGAGCATGCAGGTGGGCTGGGTGACTGCTATGCACATGTGCGAGTGCTTTGCTGGATTAAGGCCCAAATTAAGCTCTCTGTTGACTTCTGGTGTGTGCTCGCTCCCCCAAGCTGACAAACCACCTGTGTTTTCTTTAGACGTGCGCATTTGAAAGAGTGCTTTGAGACATTAAAACGCAACATCCCCAACGTAGACGACAAGAAGACCTCAAACCTCAGCGTCCTAAGGAGTGCCTTGAGATACATCCAGGTAGGTGTCGCGCTTGCGTCGCTGCTGGCCGTCCTGTGGAGCCGGAGAACGGTGGTAGCTGCTTCAAACCAAGTTACTTGTCTTTTTCCTGTAGTGCAAAGGAGAAATGGAGGAGGAAAACTCCCCTGCCTCCTTCGCCTCCCGTGTGAGAATAGTCATTTATAAACTCCAGATTTCCAGAACATTTGGATCTCCTCGGAGCACTTGCTTCATGCAGTCTCCTTATTCTGGAAGTTCCCGGTTAACCCCAAGTGCTCGGCGCCAGCGGTGGCGATGCAGTGAACTGATGATTTGGGTGATTTTAAAGAGGGACATCCAGGCTGTATAAACTTAAACTGCGCCCTTTTGGGCTGAGGTGAATTTTAATCCGTGTGTTCTGGGGAGGTTTTCTGTTTGTGTAACCAAAAGGGACAGACTGGCTGTGAATGTCTCAGGTGTTTGGCGAGGTGGAGATGTAAGGACAGGTCATTTGCTTGGAGTCAGGGAGAGACTGGAGTTTGAGGTTGCAGCGTGAAGCTCTGGGCTACCAAGAATCAGTCTGGGAGAAAGTAAAGATAAATTTGGTTGTGGTGTTTGCAGGTTGAGCGAAGTGTGAGTGTTTGCTTATTTAATATTTGTAAAAGTGGTTGATGGTAGCACAAAAGAAATTCTTAGAGGTGACTTCAGCAACTGTGAAATCAATAGCGTGCGATGCAATTAAAATTCATCTGGGAAGTGGAAGAGTTGCAAAATTGATAGTGCAAATGAAGAGAGCCGGGAGACCTCAGACATTTTGGCTGGCATAGAGGGTGCTGAGGGCTGTTCACAGTGGGCTTTTCCACAGTAAAGTCTCATCTTTTTTTCCTCGCTTTCTGCCCGTTTTCCTCAGTCTCTCTCAAATACCATTTCATTCCTATGTTTGGAAGTATTGGACATGGATTACTTGCATCAACTTCAGAGAGTCGGTAATTACTCAGCACCTGTCAGAGTTAGAGCAGCTCAGCCCTGCTCGTTAGTCTTCACCTGCTACTTCCCTCGGAGAAGCCTTTGGCTGGGGCAAGTTCCGATGGTGCTCGGCCTTGGGAGGATGGCGAACAAAAGGAAAAAGATCTTTGTTGCTTTAAAAGGTCATTTTGGAGGTGCGGTTGTATTGGAGCCTGATGGGCGTTAGGAGGGATCTGCGCCTTTGCCCTGGTGTCGGGCAGGCTGGCGTGGGCAGGAGGGAGACGGAGCGACCCCGTCGCTGTTGGGGGTGTTGTGGCGCGGCAGCCGACGCTCTCTGAATACTGAGCGGGTGCAGACCGACCCGGGAGCAGCTTGGCAGCGGTTTTACTCTGTGCCTTTGGAAGACAGCTTAAAATTCTCTTTGAGACTCTCGGTGGGGATGGCCGATTCTTCCTCTCCCTCTTCTCTGGATCCGTGGCGAAGTGTTGTGAGGCTTAGGCGCAGTGCAGTTTGTGCCGCCCACAAGCGTATGTACAACATCTCTGTGAATTGCCGGGGATTAAACTCTGGTCACGTCCTCTTAGGAAGTGTAAACTGCTTTTGTGATGGTCCGGAAGGTATTCACAGATTCAGAACCGCAGTTTGTTTCCTTTAAGTTTCTGGCACTCGGTGTCCATTTCAGTGCTGCCTTTGAATTGCTTTTCCCAGCGTGGATCCGCTCTGGGAGTGGGAACGACTGGGATCAGCTCTGTCGACTGCGCGGTGAGCAGTGCTGGTCTGTGTGCCCCCCGCCTGGGCTGAGGGGGTCCCAGGGTGATGGAATTGCAGCGTATTTAATCGCTCAGTGGAGTGAAAATGCAGAAGTTCTGGTGGTCAGTGGCGCAGTGTTCACTCCCCTGTGTCGGGGACCGTCAGGCCGCGGGTGGCTGTACCAGCACAGCTCTGGTTTGCCCGCGTGTGTCGCGGCAGGAACTGCTGCTCTGACTCCTCTCGGGTGTGCGGTGTCTGCGCCAGTGTCTCAGAAACTCCCCGGCTTGCCCCCGCTCCCCGCGGGCTGGCTTCGGGGAGCAGCCCTCCACCTCTCCCACCAGTTTCAGTGCGGAGAAGTGGAACGTTCTTACCCAAGTGTTGTCGCTCCAGCTTCCCCCTCGCAGGGTGATGGAGCTGGTTTTGTGGCGGAACTCGCAGGGTCGGGGGGCTGCGGGTGGCAGGGACAGGTGGGGGCCGGCGGTGCTGCAGCAGAACCCAACGCAAGCCCCGAGGCTGCAGAGGAGAGCTGCCCCCTCACCCCAGGGTGGCCGCCACGCCGGGACGGGGCCAACCCGCGTGCTGCCGCGTCCGTCCGTCTG